TATCTTTCTATTGCTAGATTCTCTCTTGTTTCGAAGAATAGTTGCAGAAAACTTTCTTTTTACTAAAATTATTATATAAATGCGAATGTTTAGATATAAGAAGGTATCTCTATAAACTGAACAGCTAAACGGAAAGGCATAGACGTAGAACATAGTCTGGAAGAACACATAGGCCTCTAATTAGGATTTTTAATTTCTCGGGGATGGAGTCGTGGGCTACACCTAGTAATGATATATTTATCGAAATTATTCCAGTTATATTGATTTTTAGACGGCTAATGTGTCAAAAGTCTTGACAGATTACATTGGTAAAGTGTGACTTGCCATCCGAATCATTTTCTCCGAAGAATACAACTGGATCACTTTGGGTTTTCAATTTAATCCAAAGTATCGCATATTATATTTACTTCATTTTGTTTGGTGATCATTAAACAAAGCAAAGTGTTGTTATGACTCTATAAAATGCTTGAACGTAACTAAAACTATACTTTTCTACATATATTTAAAATAAAGAACAGTTTCAAACAATGTAAAATGTATAAGCATTTAGTTACAGACATGAAATTGAGTTGTGTCTTTAAGACGATATGGTTTTTATCGACAACTTGCAGCTAAACGGCTACAAAACGGGCTCGTAATCTTTTTACGTGGCATACGGAGGCTCGTAAAGCGAGGCGATTGGTTGTGCGCGACGCTTAGCTTCACACGGAGCGAGGGCGGGCGGGGACAGGGCGGGGGACAGGGCGGGGGAGGGGGGGGGTTCTACAGGGCGGGCGGCGCTAAGTGATATTTACGGCGCGGACGTAGCGCCGTAAGCGCGGGGCTTACGATATTTTTAGCGTTTTTGTCAGGTATCTGCCCGCGTTATTGTAGGGATTTATAAGAAATAACGATTTAAAATTGTTGCTTATTTTGATTGTGTTATTTTGATAACCTTATCGAAATATAGACTTTATTTAATTTAATCTTTCAATTTATTCGGAAGCTGCATTTCATATTCATTATGTAGCTATAAAGTTTGATCTGTAACTAGGTAACATTCTCTGTAATAGTTTGCCAACACTCGCAACTAGCACGGCAGCGTGTCTGCGCGTGTTAGCACGCCTATGGCTTTGGGTAGCAACGGCTGCCGTGACCGGTGTGTTTGCTCGACGTGTTCGCAGCTACAACAATGCTGTAAGGCATGGCAGGTAGCGGGACTCTGTGCTCTATTAATGATAATTGATCTTGATTTTCGCCACTTTAAAAACTTAACACACCTTAAAGTACACTTTTTTTGCCCATGGTGGTTTCACGCATTAAGAGTTACGAAATAAATAACAATCTTTGGATTACAAATTTCTGGTGGTACTTTGTCGTAGCTCCCTTTAATACTTTAGAAGTGGGATGTCCCCCGCCTCCGCGTTTACTTTGGACCACACGAGGCAATAGTTCGGTGGCGCACGACCCGCAAACATCGCGCGCTAACCGCCCGCTCACGAACACTGACGAAAGCCTCAGCCGGCTCTGATGGTGCTACATACATACATACATATGTATGTATATACATAGCGGTGATAATGAAATATGAATTTGGAGGTTATCGACATCACGCGAAATACTTTTTGCGTATAAAAATTACGGTTAAGTTTTCTCAGATAGTATTTGATTTCGGCCTAACTTTCTCTGATGATTGAATGTAAAAATATTTTATATATAAGCTACATTCCTTTATATTTAGATGACTAACATTTATATTGTAGCTATATCAGAGTAATATGGAGATAATTAAGAAACACATAACATACAATAATTGAAATGTGAAACTAAGTATCATTTTGACTTGACACAGTTTTTATTATACTATCTTGTAGTGGTTTATCTCACGTTGTCGTGTGTTAATCAATTCAGAAGCTTACGGTCACAAGTCAATCTTTGCAAATTGAAGGATGAGCGTGTCGTTTAGCTGACGATCCATCGTGCCTCCGTCGACCCGCCGCAGATCCGCCGCCGACACGACGTCACTATCCCTGAAGTTGACTAATGTGTATAGATCAGTCGCAAATCGCCCGCCCCGGTATCACTTATTGATTCCAGCCCGGTCCTCACCTCCCCAGGGATGGACTAGTGGAATACAAATGGTGCGATCATATCTATGTTTGCTGTTTTATTATTTTGAAGCGATCTCTTTTAACCTAAACTTTGCTGGTATATTCTGACAATACTAAAGAAATTCTAAGACTTGAAAATTTGTTGATTACATAAATATTCTGTTTCTAAATTAAAATGTCCAGAAACAAATGAACTTCTCATACACAAGTTGGTTCTAACAAGATTTTGCGTTTTTCGTAGAACGTGAGACAATCAATAGTAAAAAAAGATAACATTGCCCCCGCCCCCGCCCCCGCCCTGCGACCAACACTCCCCGTGATCCCCCATAAATAATAGAGTTTGTCTCCGACAGTTGCCAAATGAGTACTGCCCTCTCGCTCCCTCACTTATCGCTTCCTCTCTCTCTCGCGCAGGCTTTTATTTTTAAATGTGTCGTTTACAAGTTTCACAAACTTTTGGTATTGCTTTTTTAACAGTCACTGTTTTTTTTTCTTTTCTATACTTTTATTACCTTTTTATAACTTTGCTAGATTTTAATTTGAATTGAACTTTTGCTAATATTATATACGTAAACGTTTACTATTATTATATACGTAACCGTCTATTAAAATACGTAAACGTGTACGTTTTCGTAGCAGAAGCTACAGTATATCTGGACGGGTAAAAAAATATATATGAAAGTAAGCGTTTCTCTGCTTTGCAAAAAGTTTTTTTTTTTTTTATTTATTATACAAAAACTTCACATAAACAAATTAAACATCAGTTAGACAGTAGTACTAAAAACCCACAGGGTTTAGGTGTACTTACTGGTCGCTTATTAATTTATAAGATCAGCAAATTTAACAAATAGAGACGTTATTAACCATTTCACAATTATATAATATATAAACAAAAAGAACAGAGATTAAACGGTTTTTTCAGACTATAGTAGAAAGACAAAAAAGCGAAACAAAAGAAAAGTAGATATATAAAACAATT